GTACTTAATTTTTACTCAAGTATTTGAGTTGGAAATGAAGAAACAGTTTTTTACTTTTACTCAGTGTTGTCACCCGGTAACCTTTTGTAAGCACCTATTATAGGTAATAAAACCTATAAAACCTACAAAAAAAATAAAAAGTTTGTGAGCTGCATTCATAATAGAACCAAATAATAGTGGAAATAGCTCCATGGCAGGAAGTTATTGTGTTGTGGCATGCATTTGATAAGAACACAAATACTCATGGGATCCAGAATTACAGAAACACAACTCAGGAAAGAAATATTGTTTAATTTAACTACATTTTGCTAATTAGCAGTTTAAAACTCTCAAATCAAATATCAAAATAGAAAGGGTATTTTCATAAGCAGACCTCAACAATTAAACATAAAAATGAGGAGAAGCCTTTAATGACATCGCAGACATCTAGTGTAGATTTTGCATTAGAGGCAAAATAAAAAATTTTTTTTTATACTTTTCACAGCACAGTTCTGCCAAATTTAAGCCTGATGATGACTGTCAATATGGTGTTCTTGAAAATGAGAAGAAATGGTTTTATTGTTACAGTATATTGTAGCTTATTAAAAAACAGCATTATTTTATGTTGAGTGTTTTTCCTTTTCCTATATCCTTTAGTAACTGACCTTTATTACACTGTGTAAGTATTTTAATACTGACTATTTTTCTTATGCCTCACATCTACAGAGAAACTGAGTGTTATAATTGAGTGTAATGGCTCCCACTACACTGTGTAAAAGAAGCTCAGTGTGCAGTTCTCTTATTGATCTATATTCACATAGATAGATAGGATTGATTTATACACCATTATGCAGCTATTATAGTGTTACATATGTTACAAAACCTAATATGAAGGCCTATAATTACCAAGAGTGGTCAGAGTAGATAGATGGATTGCTCTGTCTAAGATGACGTTATAGTACTAAGTGGCTATAATTCTTGTAATCAAAGCTGCTTTATTTACGTATGACCCACTGCTGTATTCGCACTGCCACATGTCAAAATGGAGTCCTGTCCAACTCAATCGCATGAGAAATGTATTAATTCAAACAAACAATGGTGATGTGATTGGATTTTGTTTGCTTTCATAGGAATTATGTTGTAAGTATGGGTGTAACACAATGGCAATATCTTTATCTGGATCTGCTCAGTGATCCAAATATCCATATCTGTATCTGCATTCAGATTTAAAGTGGGTGTGGCCTGAACCCTACACCACTATGCTCCTGGAAACACTGGAAAAATACCTGAAATATTTTGTAATGAATTTAATTGGTTGTACTTCCCGAAATATAAACAAATTAGTAGCCTAATTTAAACAACTTGCCAGGCAAACCACTGACCAGGCAGTTTCTAAGCATGCTGTAAATGCATCGTGCAGCGGCACACGTTTATGTCACACATCACTGTCAAACATTCATGCTACATGTGCGAGCCATATGTTTTTTTGACCTGAAAGCTTCATATCTGCCCGCTCATGTGCACAAGCATTAAAAAGTCAAAAGCCTCCTGCTTGTGTGCCTTTTTGCTGTGTCTCATGGGATCCCAGTCCTGACACACACCTCTTATCTCAACTAAATGCTCTATGAACCTTTCTATCCAGCTTTCTATTTCTTATAATAAATAAATAAATAAATAAAACCCAAAAGCGCCACCTATTTGTTTCTGTATTTGCATTCGTTTAGAAAACATTATCTGTTTATTTCACATAATGTATTTGTATTAGGTTTCATCCTTAGTCAGAAAAGGTACTATCCTAATCATAGAACTTTCCATATGACTTGAGTCATGCAAAGAGTTACACTTTTACAGGTGGGTGAGTATGCTGCTTGTGCTCTTACCTGTGCCACCTCCTCAAAGTCATCATGGCGTTTCTGCAGGGCCCTGGCTCTGTGCAGAGACTTGCCCACTCCTGTGTGTTTACTCAGGAAAGCCTCACCATGATTCTCTATCCAGTCCATCACCTTTGTAAAACACAAAAATACATACCATTCAAATGATTTAGAGTCACTGAAACAATGTAATCAAAGCTTTCTCATAAAATGAATATGCACTACTTTTTATTCTTTCCCATACATTTGATTAAGTTCATGCCCAGAAGTGTTGGGACAAGGAACACATAGAGTAAGTAGAGCGCGCACACACACACACACACACAGAGCTCAGCGACAGTAATTGGCTCTTCACTCTGCCACACAGTGAACAATCAGTCACAACTGTCTTTCTGTCAAACAAAACACCGAAGCCACTTTATCAGCAGTTACATAAGTGGACAGCAATACAGAAACACAGCTTTGATTTCATTAGTACTATACACAATCTGGCCTAACATAAACCATAGCTTGACTGCGCAATCATAACCGAAACTTCATTAATATGCCCCGCCGCTCAACTCTCAGAGAGTAAAACACTGCCGAGAAACGGTGTTTATAAATATCAGAAGAAGTGAGGGTGTAGAGAGGTCAAAGACAGAGGATTAACCCAGTTTAGTTTTAGACTGTCTCTGGGAATAACTGTATGTTTCTGGAATGTGAACACAATACAGACCCCATAGGGTGAGCTCATCTGAATGGGATGCAGAGTGTATAAGCTCTGGGGAGCTTCATGCTTATGTGTTTGCACGTGACACAATTTTATAAACCATGTCACTGGGTGTGGTGAACTTCTGTTTATGCATGGCTGATTACAGCATCCGCAGTGTGTTTTAAAACCACGTCCTACACTTGCACGAACAGGGAGTGCTGCACTAAATATAACAATAACACCAAATATAACTAAATATAACTGGCTTGTCTAATGATATGGCTTCATTCACTTTGTTGCACCAGTTCATGTTTAGTTCTACTCTTGGATAAACCCACTTTCAACCATACTCTTTTCAGACAGGATGTAATCATTAACAAAAAAATAAATATTACTAAACTAATATTTAAATGTTCATTAGGTGAAACATTTTGTGATGATTGTTACTGTAACAATGAATCCCTTTAAGATCAGGTTACAGTTCAGGTGGATTCGACAGTATTTTCTGGAATTTCCCAACAAACATATGTTCTTGGGCTCTGAGGTGTGGTGTGTAAAATTCTTCATTCTTAAAAGCACTCAACAGTGTAAACACCCTGATTATGGGACTGATTACTGTTGGCCAGGACTGGCTGGTATAAATAGCCTAGCAGGGTTAAGCCCTCCCTCTCTTTCAAGGAAGAAATGCACAAAAATAAAGGACAATTTTGGCATCCGCATTACTGTAAATCCACACAGCCTACAGTCAACAGTTGTTTCAAGTGATTACATTTGGTGTGCGTTGTGCTAAATTATTTAAGCCTGCTTTGTTGACATATCCATAACAAGTTACAAGCAGTGATTCACAAGACGCACATGACATACAATAATGGGTGCAATATACATGAACAAGGAGGACTGCTTTCTCGATCATGGATTTTTCAAAATGCCTTTGGAGAAACTAGATGTAAACACACTAAGCAAACATTATCTAATCAAAGTACAAATTACATGAAGGGACAAATGACAGAAGAGTAAGTTTTGTGTTTGTTGAATAAAAGAGTTGTCTAATGGAAAGCACGTCTTTTCTGCTTACTATGCTTTCTATTTAGAAGGGACGGACTTGAAACACTTGACTAAAAAAAACAACCATGAATGGTGTTGTTTATCGCTCTTCTGCATAAGTTTGTTCCTATGTGTATGTATCCTAGTTTTTTGCTTATGATGAAACTCTATGCTATAAGGCCCAGCCATAAATGTTTCACAATAGTAATGCCGAGCTAATAGAAATTTCAGTTATTTCATTCAATATTGTGACTAATCGTCACTGTTGTTGGTTCTCCTCTTAATGTACTGCTTTCATAGAGACACTGAGGGGCAGAGAAAAAAAATTTAGACAAACATGTAGACAAACAAGTGTGTCCCTGTGTATGACATACAAAAATAATATGAAACATTAAAACCCCTCCATCAATGCTGCTTTTGACCCTGTCTGAGAATAAAATACAGCCCATCACACTAGAATTAAGTGTGAGAACAGAAAACGTACTAACAATTATTGTCATACAAACAGGATCCAGATGTCCCCAGAGAGAGATTTTAAAAACGTTGCACGGATGATTCAGTTTCTGTAGGTCTAGACTAGAAGAGTTTTTCAGAACTGTGTCATGCTCACCCATATGAAAATCATATTCAAATACCCGGTGGACATTTTCTAATCTGAACCAGACTTGCGTAAGGGGAGTTATGTCTGTGTGTCTTAATCCATGTATAATTTAAATGGTGATAGAGTCACGTACCTAAAGACGTGCATAAGGTTTACATTTGCGAAATATGGTGAAATGTATTTTGCATTGCAGCAATGAGTCGCACAGATACAATCATGTATTTTTTATCTGTGAAATGCCCACCATATGTAGATACACCAGAGGAATCGAGAATTTACAAATGCTGAGAATACGAGATAATGGAAAGGTTAATATGCCCAGGCCTCAGTTCACTCCTCACTAACATACTTCTGACTTCACATGAAGAGGTACATCCCCCTCACATTTCTCACACACATCTCCTCCTGTCCCTCTGGTCCTTAGTCACCACAATCATGACTTCTGATTTATCTCAGTTACAAAGGACAGAGGGCATAGCACATTTGTTCCACTGATAACCCTGTGACAGTAATGATGACAGAGGTCAAAGAGAAAAGGGACAGCAGACTCTAAACTACACAGAGTGTCTGTGGACACAGAAGAGATGTGCACTGTAATAAATTGCTGTAAATTTTACAATCATTTACTGACAATTTGGGTTGCCAGTAAAGTAGTGTAAAATTTACAGTAAACAACTGTAAAATATATTTACAGTAAAGTACTGTAATATCTTAATGTTGTATAAAATGACACACAATCCAGAACACTTGCTCATTTGGCAGCTACAGGATACAACTGAGTTGAAGGTTATGGGTCTTGCCCAACCACAACAGCTTGGCAGTACTGGGATTTGAACACACAACCTTCGGAGCTGTGATGCAAAGCCTTAACCACTGAGCCACCACAACTACACCACACCCCTACTGCAACTAGCTTGCATTGATTCAACTACTTCTAGCACTGAATTAAGGCCATTAAAGATTGCAATGAATCAGTGCAAGCTAGTTGTGCTAGCTGTGGTAGCTCAGTGGTTACAGCTTTGAGTTGCAGATAAGACAGTCATATGTTCGAATCCCAGCATCCCCAAACTGCCTTGATTGGATCCTTGAGCGAGACCCTTCAGCTCAGCTGTATCCTGTATCAATATACTGGGTTAGGTGTTATTTTACACTTTGTATGATATTACAGTACTTTACTGTAAATATTTTTACAGTAGTTTACTGTAAATTTTACAATACTTTATTGGCAACTCAGGTTGCCAGTAAATTACTGTAAAATCTACAGTAAATTTTTTACAGGGTGGAGACAATGCATTTGATTTAGTAGGGTGGTGAGATCCAGGATCCCCCAGTAGTTCATGAAGCATGGTCAGGGGGACTGTGATTTCTGTTTTATTTAGTTACTGTGGTATAAACAACAACCCATAGGTTGTTGATCTATAACTAACTTGAAATAGGACCTAATGTGTTCTGTGAGTGGGAAGTTCAGGAGCTGAAAGCAGTATAGCTCCAATAATTAGCCAGAATATTATTATACACATTTAAATAATGATCCTAATATGTGAATACTGTTGAATAGTTTATGGAATTTGCTGTACAGTTAAAGGGGTGGGCAGTATGGTGGTACAGCAGGTATGTTTGCGCCTCACAGCTCCAAGTTTCCTGGTTCGATCCTGAACTTGGGTTTCTGTCTTTGTGGAGTTTTTGTGCATGTTCTCCCTGTGTCCACATGGGGTTCCTCCAGGTTCTCTGGTTTCCTCCCACGTCTCAAAAACATGCCTGTAGGTGGATTGGCTATGCTAAAATTGCTCCTAGATGTGAATGAGCATGTGAATGAGCATGTGAATATGTGTGCGTGCTGCCTTGTGATGGACTGGTATCCCATCCAGGGTGTATTCCTGCACTGTGCTCAGTATTCCCGGGATAGGCTCCGGATATACCACAACCCTGACCAGGACCAGCGGTGTTTCTCCCATCATTAACCTTGCATTTTTCCTCAATATATTCTCAACAGCTGGAGCTATAAAGTTTCCAACATAAACAAATAAGCATGTCTCTAGACTTAATGCTTAGGGTGGACTTGCACATAACTCTTTTTTTTGACTAGTATATAAATCCACTCATTTGAGCTTTCCTCTTGAACCAGTTCCTGGGAGGTCCTGTTTGCTCAGGCTGAATACCTGGCATAGTTTATTTACTTACCTTTAACTGCACACAGTTATAAAGCTATTTACGAGGTTGATCTCTGCCTAGATTAACAAACTTTTTAGAAAGTGTTTTAAAAATAGAACATGGCTTTTAACTATACAAGTAATCATGCAGGTATCTATATAGAAAAAGACCATTCAAATAGCCATTTATACTGTATATGTGCAATTTCAAGACAGATGGAAAGACAAGATGAGCTGGGGGAGATTAATACTGCAGAAGATATAAGCATTGCTGAATTAAGCACCATATGGACTTAATCATCGTAACAGATTTGGGTAATTTACTCTCAGATACTCAGATGTTAATGTGTGGGAACCTGCACTACATTACTCACTGCCTCTGAGAGCTTCATTACCTGGTGTTATGATGTGTAAAGAAGTGATGAAGTATGAGAAAGAGCTCTCAATACACATAGTTTGTCTTCAATAGGCTCCATGCTGCTCTGATTGGCTTAGTGTAGGAGACCTGAACATACAACCCAGCTTAAGTGAGCTGCATTTGTGAAGAGCTATGTAAAGGAAGAATAGGCAGCCTATGATAAGACAGACTGTACAGAAGACAGTAATAACTGATAAGGCTTTTAACAAAGCCAAAATCGTATCAGCTTGTCTCTCCACTGGGCTACACTCAGGTTGGCTACGCTTGTGCGTTTAGACTCTTTGACTTATTGGGCTGTGTTCAAATCTTGATTTGGCCTGTAGACCTCGCTAGATATGCACTGGCAGCAGAGTGAATGCAGGCTCACGGGTTCTCGCTGCTGATAAAGCCAGGTGGGTGAAATCCAGCACACATCCACCAATGTCTCATAGACAGGGATATTAACTGGACTTCTGGGCAGATATCCAGCCTCAAAACTATTAGAGGGAAAAAATGCAGTATGTAAAAATGCAGAATGCATAAGTCTATACTTATGGATAACTGCTGACGGAGCAGCTGAAATAACATTATGTACTCGTAAATGTTGGATCTATTAAATCACATTTAAGAGAAGCAAAAAAATATTTTTGGAATTAAGTAAAGCCGTTCAGTTTAGACTATTTCCAATAACTCACATTATGTGCATAGACACACAGACATATAAAGTTCACACATTACAATCACCAGAATAGATAAAAAAGAAACTTTGCTTGTCATAGTATTTCCATTAAAAGGGTTTTTTAAGAGATCTGTAAAATGATAGCTGATAGGAGATAACAAATGATTGTGTGTATTTAGGTAAAACCTTTGCTATTTTGACTGTCTAAGCTGACCATGACTCACACCTTGTCAACACGTGTATATACATTCACTGCCCACTTTATTAGGAACCCTCGTAGAGCTGCTCATTTGTGCTATTATCTAATCAGCCAATGATGTGGCAGCAGCGCAATGGTTAAAATCATGCAGAATGCATACATGTGCAGGTGTACAGGAGTTCCTCAGTGAACAGTGAGTGTATGTGTATATGTCTATTTATATATGTGTATGTTGGACCCTGATCTAATAAACAGTTTGTATGAATTTGATCAAGCAAAGGAGATGTGGTTGCATTTGATTCAATTTCATAACCTTAAACTTAACTAACTATCACAATGTTTCAGATGCAGTGAGTCAAATGAATTGCTACAAGTCTGGTGGTATGAGCGTGTTTGCGTTCTCCATTACCTGCTGCACATCCTGCTGGAACACACAAAGCTGTAGTCTTTGGTGCAGGCGCACTTTACGATGCTGCCAGATGCTTTCCAGGCGTCGGTGGTGATGCAGGACCTCGTGCACCACGTCCAGGATGCAGTGCACTGCTTTAGAGTAGTTCGCTGTCGCAGTCAGGGACTCAGAGTTCCCAGGACTTAATGGCCGCTGCAGTACATCTAGCAATGCCTTCCCATCCTGACTCACCTGAGGAGAGAGACAGAATTAATAAAAGATGAATAGAGAGACAAAGAAAAAAAACAATAAGGGTAAGACAGACAAAAACTTTACAATGCAAACACTGTTGCATGACTTTGCACAAAATCTAATACTTTTAAACTAAATGAATCATTGACTTGGACTCAACATTTACTAATATCCTCTATTTTTATCATTATAGACTTTTATCTTGTAAGTATCAAAGTCAGAGAGAAGTTTAATTCTAACACTTTCTTATGTTTTATACACACAGAGAGCAAAAGGTACAGGAAGGACAAGAATAAATTGATTTTCCCAAATTTCCCCTAATAATCATGTTTAATGTAAATGCAATATATTTGAGGCAGTGAGCTCTCAAGGAGTCTGTGATTCTTTCTCAAGCTTTACAGCTAAACCTCCCAATACATCAGTTACACATTACAGCTCTGAATGTATCAGTCATGGGAATCAATGTACCTAACTGATCAAGTGAGTATGAATAATGTCAACTTTATAATTCATCATTCATCTTAAACCCTTTGTTTAAAAAAAATACACGTTTTTCATTCTTCGGCAGAATAAGGTCAAGAATAAGGTCATTGTTATATGTAATCTGTGGATGATTCATGTAACGCACCACGGGATGAAGTTAGACATGATTTTATATCTCACTGCAAATGCTGACCTTTTATTATCCATACTGAAAAAGTGCTGTTTTGGAAAAAGACCCTAACCTCCAAAGCTGATTTAGAAACAGTTTGACTAGAAAAAGTCATCTTTGTTTTTGCAGTGAATGAAAAACATGGGGATTTAACACTGATATGTCCAAGTTTTAGAGATCAACTCTATTCATAAGCTGCATGTTACACTGAGATCTACATAAGAAAACATTACACAGCGTTTTTCAACTGTTTAAACATTAAATAAAAAAAACACATCCCATGTAGCCCAGAATCAATAACACACTGATGTAAAAATGTTTAGTTTTCTGTCATTCAAATTAAAATGCAATAAAAAAGAAACAAGCTATGATTGTGTTAAGTGAGATTGATGGAGGTGTGTACAGATACAATATAAATACAATACACAATATAAGATCTCACATTTCTTATCGGTACATTTTCATTATGTCCTTTATTAGTCGCTTTGTCTATTAGTTGATTATATCAGGAATAAAACATGACAGGGCATGCTGTTATGAGAAAATCAGGATGGTGTGATGCGACGTCAAGCAGAGGGCCATTAACAACCCGAAGTTGATTATTTTATAACCTGAAGTGTTTTTCACTCTTATGCCACAGCAAGTTGCCAACAATTGCAATTTATTATTTATTGTTTATTTATTATTAGTAATTAAAGAAAGCAAAGTCATACTTTTTTATCACTTTCTTGTTACATTTAATATTATGGATATCTATTTATAATATCATTTTAATCTCTAGCAGTCTAAACATTCCTATACCAGCCTCTCTTTTTTTTCTCTCTTGTAGTTAATAAGACAAAAATGCCTGTCATCCAGGAAGTGTAAAGTCCTCTGTGCTGAAGAACATCTCCCAACAAAAAGTTCATCACCATGTCAACGACTATATGATTTTCTTTAATGCATACATTAGTTGGCTTCGATTAGATGAAGCATTCATCATGAAAGTCCCTGTGAATCATTTGTTACATGATTGAATTATATTATCATATATTAAATATGATTTAAATTATAGTCTGCACTATTGTCAGAGCTGTGATGTTATAGAAAAATAATCAATGTATTCTGACCAATCAGCCTCAGAATTCAACAGCAGTGTGGTATAATGCAGATTAGCACGTGTACTGCTTA